CATACACATATGCAGTAGATAAGGACAAGCTGGTTAGTTTTCCTGACTAGTAACGTATAAATAGAAAAATGCTTTTGCCCTGGTTAAGTATGCCATACTTAATATGCGCGTACGAAGAAAAGTTGTAGTTTTAAGTGAAATTCTTGATTCACAGTTGTTGGACTCACTTCCGTTTCGAGTTAAATTGTGTGAAGAATAGATTCATAATAATTTTAAGTATAAGCGGGCTTCACTAAATCTACTAAATCAAGCTAACAAGTTAAGTTTCATTGATAGTTTAAAGGTAGCTTGAGCTGTGATGGTGTGATTAGGATTTTTCCCATAATGAGATTTGTAGATCACACGATGGCAGGATAGATAATTTAGCATTGCCCCTCAACAGCAACTGCCATCCAGGTTGGACTGCAGTTTCAGCCTGGCCTCGGCGTCATCAGCATCCTCAACCGGATAACATGTCAACAATTAATTATGTTCTACTCGAGTTTGATTACTGTTAAGGGTTCCGATGGGGCCCAGCTGAGGTTGGAACAGTGGTTCATGTTGAAGGATAATAACTTTTTGGAAGGCAAGGCTAATTTAATGTAAGGGCATTCTGAGACCTACATGCATTACTGCTGAAGAATTCACTAACTTTGCTCATCAACTTAAATGAGCTAAGCTACAGTTCTTATTCATGCTCCACTGATAGTCCTAAAAGTCCACTCATTACTAATACAACCTCGATAGGAGCTTGAAAGGCTTTCATCTCTCATGTCACTTGACAGTTATAATTTTAGGTTCTATGATAATTTAACTCGTTAGCTCGAATTAGTTTCAACAATTGTATCAGGCTGTGATGATGGACGGAAGCATTTTAAGATTTCATCGAAACTCAAGGTTATCCCTGTGGGTTGGGTACCTATAAGCACACCCATACGCACCTATCTTTACTCATATGCGCCGATACACATAAATATAAATAGTAATGCAAATAATGTATGATTTCATGTTTGCTAAAATTCCTTTTTATTGGAGTTTATATTGCATAAGTTGATAAGGGTGTTCGGTGAGACTTTTTAAAGAAAGAATTGCAACTACGATGCGGTATATCAAATGTTTTAGCAAGTTTTCACTGTTAAGGAGAAATTAAAGTTTACATATAAGTCAAAAGGGCCAATATGATGGTTGATATGCGTTTTGGTCATAAGAGAATTCTTCCGAAAAAGAACGTTTAAAAATCTTGTCGAGTTAGTTTGTATCTCGTTTAATGGCGACAAATGCATAAGGCCTATATTGTTTGTAAAAATAGACTACTTATATTCAAATTGAGTATGAGTTTGACGCCACAAGTAGAGCTTGAATAAGAGCTCTATTCAACCTATGTTGCCTAAGCGGATGAAGGATTAATGACGAATGTTTTTTCAATAAAATGAACAGGCTTCACAATGCAATTGAATTTCATTTAGGCCGTCTTCCTTAAAATATGCTCATCCAGGGGAACTGCAATTTCGACCTCTCCTAGGTCTCATCAGCATCCCAAGCGGGACTGGTACACAGAGTGCAGCGAATGATTCCGGCATGTCACCGCTACTCCATGCTACCAGTAGTATCAGTCGATAGTAGGTCAGAAATAAAATGTATAGCAAGCTAGACCCTTCCAGTATCACGTTTACGTTAATTCAAGGTCTACGGAAATTCGTGAAATCCTACTCAAAAGCGTATTCAGGTGAAGTTGTCGACTATAATGCCAATTACATATTTGCAAATGTGATAAGATATATGTCTGGATTGCGTTGTAATTCGATTT